CACTGTTGAAAGGGGGGGTGGGCAAGTCTGCTAAGTTAGTATGCAAGACAGAAAGAAAGCCAGCAAGAGGTGACACAGGAGACTGGGGATGACTCGGGAACCCGGGAGCAAGCAGTGCGACTTACTTGACACAGACAAAGGGGCCTCCTTACAGCGGACAGCCCCAGGTCCGGGCAAAGACAGCGCCACGTGAAAGGGAGAGGTCGGGGTAGCTCCTGGCCCTCACGAGGCCTGCTAAACGAAGAGAGAGTGACCTTGCCGTGCTTCAGCGGTGTCGTCGTGTATTGAACTTCTGATGGAAGCCCCTGTGCACGTACACATGGGGTTCGAGGTATGCGTAGGCATGCCTTAGGGCCTTCAAAAGAGTTGGAGATCCTGGTGCTAACACTGTGACAATCGCTCCCCCCAACGCACTCGAATTCGCATTTGCGCGGGGCTTGGGGCAAGGCGTGTTCAACTCGCTTGAAGCAAGGAAGGAAGAAACAGAGAGAGCGAGAAAGGAGGGGTGAAGCTCACCCTGCTTCTCGTGTTTGTGCTGAAGAAGAGGGCTGGGAGTTCTCAACGGCCCCCGCAACTACATCCTCAGCAGATGGGAATCCCTTGTGGCATGTCAGACATCCTTCCTGCCTAAAGAGCTGCAGCTGGTATGAACTTTTCTGGCGCCGGGAAATACCTTCCGATGTGTCCCGACATGAGTTGTCTTCGCGATGACCTGCTGAGGAGGCATCACGCCTACAGCCATCCTAGCACAAGATGTGCTGGGTGATCTTCGCATGCGGGTGATATGTATTAGGACTTGTTGTATTCCTGCATTAGGTTCACTACCTGGAAGGAGATGGGACCCACGCATCTCCTTTCACACAGTCTCCGAGTAGGAAAGGCGGAGAGAGTATGAGCATCACGGCATCAGAGACGATGCAGAAGAAGTCGCCTTCTTGCCACGGAAGTGTTGTTCTTTCCTGTCTTCACATGGGCTTGAGTCTGAAGTTGCTGTCAGTTACTGCCGGCTGAGGAATGAAGTACGTGTTCTCAGACAAGATATGCAAGTCTTCAAGAAGCACCTGGAAACTCTGGCAGCTCTTGCGAAGGACACCCGGTGTATCGTCACACATGGCTCTCTGATGTTGCGACATTGGATGCAAAGCCCGTTGTCTTGTCTTGTGCTTAATCAGGTCCCAGACTTATCTGCGAGGTGGCACTTTGGGAGACTTTTTAATTTCTCGAATGGTCCTATAGAGGTACCTATTCATAAATAATTGTGGGGGGCCCCGAAACTACAACCCAGTATATTACAGCACATGCGGGCGCTATGCCGCTATGTGGGCACACGTAAGGAGGGTGCGAATTTTGATTTCGCAAGGGTTACTCGTGGGAACTAAAACCCCTTCGTTCCAGGACAAGCCTTCGCTGCTTCTTCGGCTGTGCCACAGCCAGCCAGGCGTCGCAACACGGTTCGTCCGACTTGAGTTGTGTGGCGACTGCATCAAGAATCTAGACAGAATCGCAATTGCTCTCGCCTGTGTCATGGGTCACACGTCGTCATACGTGACGGTGTCGGCTGCACGGCAGCAACATAGATCGTTTCATTCAGCAGTGATGATTCACCAGGCAAACCGCCATGACTTTCAGCATGATCCGCAGCACCTGAGCTGTGGTGTTGAAGAAATTCGCTCTGCACGCGTGGTTAGATTTTTTCGCAGGTTGTGCATGTGTCCCACCCCTCAAGCAGGCACATGAGCAGGTTGTTGCTACAACCTCAGTCGACGCGTCTCGAAATTGAAAAGAACAACTTGCGACAGTTCTGGGACCAGTTATGTCCAGTTGCAGACCCTCTCTGAGTTCGTATGGCCACGACAGGAGGTGATGTTGATAAACTTGGTCTGGTTCGGCAACCGTCCATCGGTCCATCGATCAGTTGATTCCACCTAGTTATGTCTGGTCATGTGTACTTGGGAGCCTGCGGTATACGTTGCGGCGAGCATGACAGAGGCCCGAGGGCCTGTTTCACACTAATGCCAGATTGGCGAGATCCAGGTTTACAGGCGAGGCAAGAGCCTGTGGTTTCACATTCCGAACCATTTTGCATGTCGCGGTCACTCGTGGCTCACGTGCCCCAGAATGCTGCGCTACTGGGCCACTACCTCTGAGTACTGAGATTCCGGAGATTCCTATTCCTGCGGTGGCGAACAGCTTAGCTAGCTTCTGGCTTCCAAAGCTTGCGCATCATGCCAGGGAAGTGGGCATGATTTGTGTGGAGCGAACTTGTGGCCATGTTAGGGTGTGGCATGCAGGGCGGTCAAGCAGCCCTGCTGGTCGAGATTAGGTTTTGCTGCACGCAGTCCTTTTCCCGTTGCTGCAACGCGGCAGATGCGTTGGGGGCAGATCGTGTTGTTGGATGCCATGCGATCTCGTCGCTAGAGCTCCGGCCCCACAACACACTGCCGCAGGGCGGCTAGAAAGCGCAAGGTCCCTGACAACACAAATCACAAGATTTGCTGCGTGTCACGGGCCTTGAGCAAAAAATTAGGTTCCGACATGCGCACGGCCGCAGTTTCATCGGTTAATGTACACAGGAAGTTAGGCTGCTCCAACACTGTAAAGTTCTGTTGGTCGTGCACTGTGGCATAGAGCCGGTCCTGCGAAGCAGGATGTTCGCAAAGGCTCCAGATTTAATTCGTTAGATTCTGTGGTACGAAGTGGAAAGTGCAGGCTGAAGTATCGCGTGTGTATTTCAGCTCGGCTCGTGCGATGCCTCAGAATCTTTTGTAGGAGACTTATGCACGCAAATAATGTCACAGTCTCCATGAGGCATGGGTCTTCAAGGGGCTTCGTCCATGTTCTACAGGCGCCGAAGAACTTCACAACTCGTTGCCTAAGTGGCACTTGGAAGCACACCTGTTCTTTTCCAGCAGCTGTTCGTCCATCTCTTCAGAATTGCCATGATCAGCTATGCCAGCAAAATACATCAACGATGCCCCTTGTTTCACAAACCACAGGCCAATAGTCGCTGGTGGCAAGACTCCACATGCTTGCAAGCTAGATTCCTGGCGTTCTACTGTGGTGTCTTGTCACTATGCATCGATAAAAGACCGAACATGCAATGCGCTCCGCGCGGAAAATTTCGACAACGCTGGCTTCTCTCTGCACTGCCCATTGCTTGCACTTCGTACTTCTGCTGCAGTGGCCTGAAAAGAGTGAAGGCTCCAGACAAAGAGCCCGCGCCTGCGCCTGCGGCTGTAGAGGCCTGGGACTGCGAGCCCACTGCAGTCAAGGGTGGTGCAATGCAGGAGACCTCCGAGGATGACGAAAGCAAGGCCTATGAAACTGAGCTGAAGGAGCCAACAGATCGAACAAATTTTGAGGCTGTACTTCCGGCTTTTCTGCGTGCTCACAGTACCAATTATCGGATAATTATCGATAGCTGTCCTGCGGAAGAGGACCTCCTGGAGAAAAAGGAGGCCGCCAAAGCCGAGGAGGATTTTGACAGGGCGGAGCAGCTAAAAGACCAGGCGCGCCCAACGCTTGAGCACAGAGTGCTGGAGCAAAGGCAGCAGCACAGACCCTCTCGACTAGATGCTCGCTTTCCGCATGTCCAGAAGAAAGGTGCAGCAGCTCAAGGGTAAGGAGCTGGCGCGGCTCAAGGCAACGGACAGTTTGCACTTAGCCTTACTTTGCTACCATATGGTAGGAAGTGTTCTGGATCGTACAGAAAGTCTGTATCTGAGATGTGAAACACGTGTGACTGCTTGCAGCTCTGGGCCACGCTTGTCGAGGGTGAAGGCGGACGACGGTGGTGGGTGGGAATCCCGATGCAATGCTTTTCGCCCGGCACACCACCTCTGCCTGATAGGCATACTGACTAAAGGGTGACACCGGCAGACGGACAAGATGTCTCAAAAAATAAATCCTCGCAAAAGTAGCAGCATAGACGTGAAGTTGCTGTGACACTGGTGCCGCGATATGCAGAGTGCGGACTGCGATCCAATGAGACAAGCCGTTAATTCGCTCTACTGGCTCCACTCGTAGCAAATCAGTAGCAAGCATTTGGCAGGAAATGCTGTCACATTCCAACTCCACGAGATCCCGAAGACGTCATGCCTCAGGAGAAGAAGGATGAAGCTCTTAAGCAAGAGAATTATCTGGAGGCCCTGCTGCAAATGCGAAGTCTTGCCGACAAGCCCAAACTACTGGAAGGCCAAGACAATCAAAGCTCGCATTGCGAAGCTGGAGCTTTGAGACGCAGTGATATTGCTTGAAGACAGACGGTACCTGGCGTAGGAAATGCAAACTTGAAAGAAGCAGTTTAAAGAAGCGTCGAAGCTGACTTCGACTGCTTGCTTTCCCATACAGATGCCTGCAACGCACACATGATGCAGAGGCATCTTAGAATGGTAGGAAGATTTGTCTGACTACCCGAACCAGTCTGTCGGGACAGCACCTGCCCGGAAGGTACCTAACAGCCCCGAGTCATGTGCACGCAGACAGGATTGATGCAGCTTGCAATTGTCAGGCTTGCGCCCAGGGTTTACTTGCAGTTTAGTTCTGCTTTCAAGTTGCTCTGCACCACAGACCTGCTAGACAAGCGTCCAGAGGAAAATGCAGCGTCGACAAAGAACCCTCTGCGGTCATCGCTAGCCGCGAAAAGAGATGTCTCTGGGTCTGGGATTGCAGGCCACAAAGCACGTTGCCAGGATAAGTGTAAACGCAGTGTCGCAGCACTTCGTGCTTGTGCCTCGAGGCCAGTGTCCTCTTTCATTGCCAGGGATTCCAAACACTTCCAAATACGACACTGCGACCTCAAGCCCTTCTAGTCCCATCTTGAGGTCTGAAATCATTGAGTCAGACAGTGCATACTTCTCTTACGGATCTTGCAGATGCTTACCGCTTGCTGTGTCAAGGTCGCCCAGAACAAGCAATATGCTCCTTATTTGGAGCCCCGAAGTCTGAGCAGCAGAGCGGAAGAGATGTCGCCTGTAGATACAGAACCCCTTGTGACTGAGGTCTTCTCGCAATGGACATCTTTCTTGGAGCTCATTGAGCGGGCTGAGCCCTCGGGGGTAGCATGAACTCAAAGTCTTAAAGTTCCGGCGTTGTGCAAGGCCTTGGATACCGCACGGATCCAGCACAGGCGATTCGACGCTTTGCCGCAGAAGCCGGGTGGTTAGGCTCCTCTTCATGCTTCCTGTTCCTCGACTTCGTGCTGACTTCTGCCAAGGATGGGTCATTGAGTCGCCGCCTCGCTATCTCCTGTCGTGCGCAGGTGAGAGCTTCAGCACTTGGATAATGAGGTTTAGAGGAACGTGCTCAGCGCGTCGCGTGGCTGAGCGAGCCTGCAGTGACAGGCCATGCGAGATGCTTCCTCATTGATGCTAGTAATTGCTGACTACTACTACTACTACTACTACTACTACTACTACCACCTTACTTCCACTACTACGACTACCACTGTGACTGCGACTGCGACTACGACGACGACGACTATTACTACTACTACTACTACCACGACGACGACTACTTCTTCTTCTGCTACTACTACTACTACTACTGCTGCTGCTAGGCCCCCCCTCCTACCAACTACGCTTGTCTAAGCTGGGGTTTGCAAAGTCGACAAGTGGATACCTGAGAGAATATGAAGTGGTACGAAAGTGGCGTACAGACGAAGTGAAATGTATGTGAGCGCAAGCGTGTTGGTATTACCGCATCCCCACCCCGGACCCCCAAACCGCGTGTTTGAAATGCGCAGCTCGATATTGCAAAGTCGACAAGTGGGATTTGACGCAACAAGACGTGCTGGGACATAAGGAAAGTATCGTAAATCCGCGTAAAATGGATGTGCTCTTAAGATGGTTCAAAGCAAGTGTAGTTAGTAGGGTGGGGGTGCCTCCTACTACTACTACCGCTGCTGCTACTGCTGCACTGTTTTATCTGCTGTTGTCTCGGGGGTTAGCTGCCCCCCCCTTCGTGCTTGAGTCTCGTTGCCTGTCAAGACCCCGTGGAGCTGTCACTATCGTGCCAGGGCGGTGACAAAAAGAACTACTACTACAACTGCTACAACAACAACTACTACTACTACGACGACGACCACTATTACTACTGCGAACTACTACTACCGCAACTACTACTACTCCTACTACCACTGCTGCTGCTGCTACTGGTACTGCTACTGCATTACTAGAACTACTAGTACAAGTACTACTAGTACTACTAGTGCTAGTACTAGTACTAGTACTAGTACTAGTACTAGCACTAGTAGTAGTAGTAGTAGTAGTAGTAGTAGTAGTAGTAGTAGTACCACTACTACTACTACTACTACTACTACTACTACTACTACTACTACTACTACTACTACTACTACTGCTACTACTGCTACTACTACTATCATTACTACTACTGCTACTACTGCTA